AGTGATTACAATTAATTTTTAGTGAGTGCTGCATATTTGATAATTGCTCTGATTCATGCTATTATTATATTCCCCTTCCTTTGCCCATAGCAAAACAAGCTTAATTTGATTCATACTCTTAGGAAGAAAAAAAAGCCTAAGATTACTCACATGGCTGTGATTCAGCTCTTGGCTCCCAACACAACCACCCCCTCCTCTTTTCCTCCTCCCTTTCTCCCACCCTGCCCACGCCCATATTCACTCCCACCCAGTGGTGTCGCCATCAAAAAATTGAGTCAGTTTGTTCTTTAAAATGGGTGGGGAAAGAAGACAACTAATAAAAACTTTTTTGAGTGAAGTGTATGGCTTAGATTTGAAATAATTGCAGGAAGACATGCAAAGTGGCTCCTTATATAACATGGAAAGCCTGGAACAGAGGTCATTTCTCAAAAAGAAATGCTCCCTGTGTCTTCCACAAATCTAGACAGAGTTAGTGTGTGCACCTGTAGAGGTTTATACATAACCACAAAGGCAAGTTTAATGAAAAAAATTGAATACTGGTAATCTTAAATATGTTTTCAAAGTAAGGTCCTTTGCTATAATCCAAAGGTAAATACATAGCAGTTCTCTAAAGTTTTTTTTTTATCATTATAAAATGTAAGTGATACATTCACTTTATTTGCCTTCAAATGAACAATGTAACTTTGAGGCATGAACTCTTCACCCTCCTCAAACCAGAGTTGGAAGATGAGTGGTGGAGATGGCTGCTCACTTTAGTGAGCTGATTTTGTAGAAGATATTATTGAGGCAGCGATTTCTGTTTCTTCTTTGCATTTTCTCACTTCCAGATGAAGCAAAAAGAAATGAAAGTGGCTTTCTCAGGTTTGCACAGTTAGATCTCACAGTCAGTATTGGAAACCGGGGTCTTTCTCTTTAGGTTGACCGGTAGTGTGGGCTTCTGGGAACCTGACACAGTTGTGTTTTAGAGATCACTTGCAGGGAGGAAGCGAATTAGAGGTTCAAACCAGCCTTTAACAGAACTATTAAATTAGGTCTGTGTTTGGCTTTGAATCAAGCCCCTACACAGAGGGAAAAACATTGATTCTTCCCTCAACACTCATTTGTAATCCCAGCCACCCTTTCTCCATTTTGTTGGCTTTCCCCCTATTATGGTTACCTACCATCTGTCTGTGAAACACTGCCTAGATAAAGACAAGTTGGAGCAGTTTCTCGCCCTCAAATGAAACACAGAAGTACTTCTCTTCTCCTCCAGAACAGTGCTGAACACCATATTTGAGGAACTGCATATTTATAAAGCTTGCCTGGGCGGCAGAGATGTCTGGTTGCTGTCCTTTTTTGTCATTCTTCAAATATGTTAGATGCTGACTGGAAACTATTAACTTTTGTGACCAAAGGGTTTGTGAAATGCTTGAACTGCTTCATACAGCTTTCAGATGGAAACCCTTGCTGTTTGTTTCTTTAGGAAGCAAAATTTATTAATATAAGACAATGTAGAAGAGAATATATTCTGAGGTTCCCCACTCAACTCTCTGAATTTCCCTTAGGTTAAGTGTGGTGCAGTTTTATGTCATGACTCCACAGAAAGAACAAACAGTGGACCTCAGTTGGGTACTTTTTTATGGTCTGTTTCCCCATTTTCATACCTCTCATTGTAGACCCCTAAAATTTCAAGAGCCCCCAACAGGGCTCTGAACAGTCCTTGATCCATTTATCTTCTTTCCTAGCTGATGACAATTCCAGTGTATTGACCTATGTGGGCCAACTAGAGAAGGCTTGTTCTTGAATATCCTTCTTGGCTCCGTCTTCACTGGTCTTGGGATACTCTAGAAAGTTTGACAGGAAAGGTTCAACAGACTGCAGATGTAAAACTGGATGAGAACTTCAAAGAAGAAATTTTGGGAGGAAATGTGGATTAACCAAGTGTTTGACATTATAAGTAGTTTAAAATGATACTTTTTTAGAAAGTAATAAAATTGTGTGGTTTATATTTTATTCAGAAATGTTACTTAGGGAAGACTAAGCTGTATATAACTCCACAGTTACCTGTCAACTGTTACACTGTTCTCAGCACTTGCATATACAGAAGTATCCTTTTATTCTGTAGTTGGGAATGATAGAAACAGGACACAAACTCCAGCAAGTGTGACTCCAAAAGTCAGACTTTTAAAAGATATTATAGGTCCTTTTAGATGACAGAATTTGAGTTGTTTGATTTTATTAATATCCTGTTTTCATAGCCTGTGTTTTCCATTAAAAGCCACATAATCATACATTTTACATTCTCTGTATTGTAGGAAGGTAACTATCTTATAACCAATAAAACTTTACTCAGAAAAAGACAGTGGCTAGATTAATACATTCTTGTTTAAATACAAATAAGTTTTAATAATTGAGTGAAAAATATGTGTACTGAGTTCTTTTAAAATAAAGACTGAAAAGTGTAATTTGGATATGTACTCCTAAATAGTTCTGTGTGAATTTCATTTCAGAAAACCAACTCTATATGTAAACTTAATATGGTGTTTATTCTAGTAAAACCCTCAGGGAATCTTTTTGTAAAGTGAATAGTCAATTCCAGAATTAGCTGTTTTACACTGTTTCAGTATGTATACTTTTATTTGCCTTCATTTATGAATTTGAAAATTAGATATTTGACAAGTTTCCTATGTCATAAAAATAGAACGCATGTTCCACATTATAAGTAAACTAATTATTCATCAAGGTGTAATCAACAATAAATGCTGAGCCTTGGTCAGAGCAGTTGCTGACTTTGCTCAAGGTTAAAGGAAGTATGCTGAAAAGAGATAACTGTAGTTAAACCGCTCAGCCTGAGCCCTCCAGATTTTTTTGTGTGGGGAATTCACTTCTTATTACCGCATTCTTCCTGTCTGTGCAATACCTGGGAACAATTTACTCCAAGTAATGCCACTCCCATCTTGGTAGTAAAATTTTTACCCAAGAGGAAAACTATCAGGCCATGTCAGTTTGTTTAATCGGAATTTTCACAGGCACTGGTTGATGATTCTCAAATGTTTATCTTGCATCTTTTAGGCAGGTTGGAGATTAAAAGACTGAGCAGATAAAGTATGTGTGATGTGGTTGTGTTGTGTGTTTGCATGTGAGTTGCTCACATTAGTGATTGCAGTAAGTGCAAAAGTGAAAGCTTAAGCATGGTTCTCATGTTCCTGATCATTTCCTAAAGAACCCACTACATAGTCTTCAGATATAAGAATTAAACTTGGGTTCCCAGGATAGACAGAGTCCGAACCCACCATGGTAAAGATATCAGAGATGTATAAAAGTTGTGTACCACTATTGTGTGAATTCAGATGTTTAGTTGTTCCACTTGTAAAGTTTACAATCACAGTTCTGAAAGTTGTGTATTAGAGCCTGGAACCAGAGCCTCATTGAACCTTAAAAAAATTCTGCAACGTTTTTGTTTACATGGTTTAACTTTTTGAAATAATTAGAATGTGCATTCTGATCCTTAAATGTACAAGTTATAAAAGAAAAAATGTGAGCTTGTCAGATAAACTACAGCCACCAGTCTAATGAAACTGAGTCACTTTCAAATGGGCTGCACTTACACTATCCTCCCATTCTAGAGAAAACGAGGCCGGGGGAGGCAGACTGAGTCATCACCTGGTTTGTTTGACATACGCTTCCTTCCATAAATTGGGAAGGGCAAGCAGTGCAGTATTCTCTGCTTGCCTCTGAGAAGGAGCTGTTACAGCCTTGCAGGATCAAAATAGGGACTCTAGATTTGAGGTACGAAGCTGAGTTCATAGTTTGACTTCTCATAACAGGGAAGGGGAAGAAACCAACAGATCCAAACAAGGAGCATTTGTAAGTATCATTTTTGGATATTGGAGAAATAATAGGGGTATTCACTGTTGAGTGTTTTTTTCCGAGGACATTAGAGGTAGTTAGATAAATTGGAGATGTTAAAATAATAATAGTGTGCTAGTTCCCAAAGTAGGCTTGTTTACTTACCAAGAATGTTTTTGATGTAGACAATCTAAAATGATTATGAGAGCAACTGATAGGTAAGTAGGTATGATTTGGCTGTTGTCATAAAAATGTGTCCAGATGATATTTAATTTTACCTAAACTAGAAAATTATTTTAGAAGAAACTATTTGATTTAGAAAGCTTTTCATGACAATGTTTAGTTTCCTTTGTGGGGGCAGGGTACTTTGAGGAGATGAGAACAGAGAGACTCAACTATGTTGCACGTTTTCCTACAGTGCTCCAATGAAAGGTCACTGCTGTTTTGAAGTTTAGAATGTAAAAATCGTTGGGGAGAATATAGAGGAAGGAGAAGGAGGACTAGATTTGTAACCAAAGTGCGTTTGTGAACTTAAGGCTTTGCTTAGGAGTTATTTTTTAATACATGCCAGACATTCTTCTGATTTCCATTCTGGCTTGGTTGTGGCCTCTTTCTCTGTCTGTGTGAGGCTAGGGTGTTCCTTGTTTTAAAGCCGGAGTTGTCGCAGCCGGGGCGTTTTCTGTTTCACTTATGGCTTTTTTTTCTCTTTTCCTGAATGAGTGTCCTTTGTGTAACCCCAGTAATTCAGAAATCCTGCAGTCATAGGGACTGCCCTGTCATGTGACTTAGGTGCTAGGTGTTGGCTGCGATTGGTCAGTACCTAATTGGCGGGTCCCTATAAGAGGTCCCTGAGTCCTTGTCTGGCTGCTCTCTGGCCTGGGCTGCTGCTCAACAAGGGCAGGCTAGGAGGTGGGGTCTGTCCAGTGATTCAGCCACATGTGATAGATGACCAAGTGACTGCTTGCTAGGGGTTCGCACATCAGTTGAAGACACTCAGACTGGTTTTGGCTGAGCTGGTTGATGAAATTCGGGCTTCCTGAACTGGTAACTGGTCACTTTAATAGAGCTTACTGATTAAACTCGGAAAAATGCAGCTGAAAATCTTCACCAGGAACTTGGGTGGACTTACTCCCTGTTTCCCCCTCCCCTTGTTCTGATTTGTTTCGTCACAGGAATGAAATGCAGATAACTCTTTAGAAAACTTTTGTAGGAAAAGTACCTCGTGTGATCTGGAGCAAAGACATTTTATAATCAGATTTGTCAAGCTGCGAAGAGGGAGTTTTAGCAAACGGAAGCAGCAGCATTCTGTCCCCAGGAAACACTGCTTTATCCAGAATTGGTAAGTGAAAAGTGGCATTGCTCCTTAATAGATATCATATGGTGTGTGTGGGAATTGCAAATTTGTTCACAGACCCCTAACAACTGTGTAGAACACAGAACACATAAACAAAGTGACTTTTAAAAATGAGTAACCCAACAGTATAGCATGAAGGCTGAGATGGTAGATAATTAACAAAATTGAGCTGAGCATTACCACTTGAGCCAAACAGATATAACTAGATTTTGCTTTTATGATTGTTTTTCCTTTTAGTGGGAGGGGGAATAAAATCAAAATGGGCTGTTTGGTTGAGCTGTGGCATTAATTTTCCACATATAGATTTCCACTTCGTCTGAACAGCATACACAAAATTTGAAGGGATACTTTCAAAATTAGTCAACGTGCCTTCCTTTACCTCCCTCTACTCCAGGTGTCATGTATTTCTTTAGTTAGAACTTGACAAAATGAAAGTTGAAGCAGTGCATTAGAAACATCTCTTGATTGTGAAGAGCGGGTTACAATGGCAACAGATTTTTTTTAAAATTCATGATGTGAATTTTAAGGTTCTATTCAAATACATTAGTACAGCAAAAGTGGGTATTTCTATATGATCCATTACATTTTGAGAGACAATTGGAAGTCCTTATTGGTATGATGTGCATGTCTATCTCTCTTGGTTTTCTAATCTTGAATCTTACCTGCTCCTGTGTTTAAGGTTTCCAGACAAATACAATAAAAGCTTTGAGGACTTGTGTTTGTATAATAGGTTCTTGTTTGTGAACTGTAAGGCAACATAATTTTATATTAGGCATGAATGTCTGATTTCTCCATTTGGTATAAGAATGATTATGCTGAAAAGAATGAATAGAATAAGAAAAGAATGTTAAAAGTGGTGTGGCTACTTGATTTTACCAGTTTCTTATTGGTCAGTAGAAATTGTGTGGTGTCTATTTACATAGAATTAGATGGAGAAATATTTCCTTTAATTGTTAGTAGTTATATATGAATTCTTATTGATTTCCATTTATGAATGTGAACATACACAAATAAAATTAACAGACTGCTTCAGATAATATAGGATATTAAATGTATTTTTTTTTTTTTTGTATTGGGGATCAAACTCACGACCTAGTGCTTGCCAGGCAGGCACTTATGCTGCTGAGCTAAATCCCTGGCAAATTTACTTCTTTTTAAGCATCTTAAATAAAATTCAAAGTAGAATATGTGTTTTTGAATTTTAGTTCCAATTCTGTTACTTTCGAAACTTGAAAGGGAAAATGTATATAAAACAATTGCAGACCTACAGTTTCTCTGTTGACAGTGCAAATAAGATGAAAGTGGAAAGGAAGATGAATGTAATAATATCTATTAATTGTTCTGTTTTAGTCCATCTGAGGATTTTAAATGTCGTTTTTCTCATACTAATACCATTCAAGACTTGTGTTTATTTTCAAAGAAATAGATAAAAAAAAAAAGGAGTCTGGTGTTGCAGCCTTGTGAATATCATAAATCATTTGGCTTTAGATGTGGACTTCATGTTTTCCACAGCACATGAATTTACATGTTTTAAAGGCTAGGGGACAGAAAAATGGTGACAAAGCATGAAAGTATTTTCAGATAATTTATATCTTATTACAAGTGTGTATTTGGTGACTCACAATTATTTTAAGCTTTGTATTTTTTGTTAAATACTTGGTGAAACATGATGATTTAATAATGTGTCTAAATACTGCCATGCTTGATGGAAAAAAAAATGCCTCTACATAAATTTTAGGTTTTTCTTATCCATTTAGAAAGCATTATCTTGAATGACAAAAATGTGATAGAAGTAGGTTGAAACAGGAAATGCTAGAAAGCATATCCCAGAAGAATAATTTGAGAGCTTTGTGGTATTAATTCTATCTGCTAGACTCAACCTATTAAGTTTTAAAAATATATCTAAAATGAATGACATAGTAATGCCCTGAATTCTCTCTTGGGTTCACCAAAAATATTAGCATTTTTGTATATTTTGCAAAAAGACATTAATGACATGCATATGTCTTTATCATTATGGATATGTTAAGCAACAAACTGAAGGGAATTGGGTCAAGCAACAGACCTCAAAGTAATTTCTTTCAAATAGTGTTTGTTATTTGCATATTCAGGAATAGAAGCACTTTCTTTTAGACTTGTTATCTTAAGTTTTTGGTGTGGTAAACCATTGTACCCAATTAAATTATTCTTTTGAGATATGAATATTTCTGCATGCATGTATTTGATTTGAAGGGGAGGGAGCTTTAATCGCTAACAAAACAAGTGGCTGTTTGTTAGAACCCAGATAAGCCTCACAGTGTTGTTCCCATGACAACTGAGTAGTTGGGTGTTGAAATGTAGCTTTAAGTTCTTGGTTTGGAAATGTCGTTCAGACCTCCCACTACCTACAGTCTCATTGAGTAGGAGGATAAAGAGAAGGGGAAAAGCCACGAAGCAACATAAGTATCTCCATTCTTTTCATGTCTTCCTGGTTTGCTGTTTATGTAGAGGATTGCCATGGGAGTGGTAAACATAGGTCTTGAACAAGAAAAATTTCAATGTAAAATCAATGAGAAGGGGTCAGAAATGTTGAGGAAGATAAATAACAACATGTGGGGGGGGTAATAAAGAGGTGGGAGATGTCACCTGCCATGAGTTTATGCAGATCCTTTATCCAGTACTGACCAGCATTGAGAACATCTTGAAATAGTTATTGTATAGTTCTTTATAAACTGCAAATAATACCCTTCAAATGCATTGTGGAGAAATTCCTTTGGTAGCAGGACCGCATTTATTCCTGTCCTGTAGCTGACTACAGTGGGCACTGCTGTGTTCTTTGCAAGACACATAACCTGAAACCAATTGTTCACTTGTCATTTCATAACTTTTTTGTCTTTTTTCTATAGGAAAGTCAAATCTGTACTATGAAAAGCTAAGTATTTTATCCTATATTCACAATTTATTTAAAAAATCTTAAAGATTCCTTGAAACTGTTTGTGAAAATGAATTGCATGACTGAGAATATATGGAATACTCTGCTTAAGGGGAGAGATAGTTTAGGCTAATATGTAGCATGGAGTCATTATGCAGTGGTGAATTTTCCATGCCTGAAGGGTTTCCTAGTTTTACTTGTAAATAGTATTGACTATTTTGTCATCAGCTTCTTCAGATTTTAGCAAAGAAAAAATTTCATTGGTGTTGTCCCTCTCTTAATAAATGTAGGTCTGCCATTTCTTCTGAAGTCTAAAATGTTCTGAAAAAATTTAAAATTAAAAATTAGTAACAGATTGTTACCTGAACTTGTGGGGCTACCTGTAGTCTTTCTCACTGAATTTTTGTATGTTTTGTCATAGAAATATTGATTTTTTTTATTGTTGTACAATACTGGATTTACCTCTACTTATACTTTCCTCTTGCCCTGCAATTACTAACATACATGTATTACTTGCCAGGCATTGTCACCTAGTACACTGCCTCTGGCACATAATAGATACTCAGCAGATACATTTTAGCTTTATGTTTAACTATTTAAGCTTAAAAGCAGTGTGTGGCAAATATGATACCCCCCTCCCATTTTACTTGGAGAAACTGATGCAGAGAGAGGTGAAGCAGATTGCCTAAAGTGATACAGACAGGAAATAATAGAGTCAAGTTTTGAAGTCTGGCTGTACTCTTAATGAGTCATCTACCAGCAAGGCTTTGAGATGTGGCACTGGAACTCTTGACTGAGTCAGAGATGGTTCCTTTATGTCTGATCACCTTGCCCCTGCTGTCATCAGAGGGTGATGATCTCACCACTCTGGTCATTATGAGGGTCCTGTGTAAAGTGCTTGTAGCAGGTCTTCTTGAGTGGGAGTGTAGGTGTTCTAGGGGTTTGATGTGTCTCAGTGAATCAACCTGACTTCAAAAAGGCATAAGAAACAGCACTTGTCTTTAATTCCAAGGAAATTTTCTTTGTATTGTTGGAGAAAAGCTTTTTGTAAACTATGTGTGGGCTCTTTCTTTACCCAGCAAGAGATGTAGCATTGAAAGTGGGAATGGATCACCTTGGAGGGGATGACTCTTTGGACACAGCAAGGGCCCTCGAGAGAAATCAGGCAGTGTGTGGAAACAGAATCACACAATCCTCTGACTCCATGAAAGCATACTTTTAATAATACTTCCGAAAAAAAGTCTATAAGGTGTCTTTCTAATCCCTATGTATCTCTAAGAATTAAAACTATTAATTCCAAACTGATAGCAACCTCCCTGTTTCTTACTCCCCCAGTTTCCCTATACGTCTTTCCTGCTTAATTTTTCTTAGTACTTGTCTCTTTCTGATATATTGTACATTTTACTTTGTTTAACACATTAGCCCAACACAATTGTTATTTTGAGCAAATTTAAAGGATATAGAAGTATTTCTTTGCTTGCTGCCTTCAAGTCACTTTCTTGTAAATTTTAGACTAATAATGATATTTTTGTCCATGGGACTTTTCTTACTCTTAGCTATTAATTTTATATTCAATGAGAACTTGTTTTTACAAATTGTTTTATTAGTACAGAGTATGGAAAATAGATGTCTTCATTCAGGAAGGGAAATTGAGCCAAATTTGAATATATAATTATTGGACTTTTAAAAAATTTAGAAATTAAACAATTAGTATTTCATTTAGTGACATCGGAAAGATTTTAAATTATGATGGAGAACATGCAGACTAAAAATTTACATTACAGGTACTACTTTATGAACTACTCTCAACTTAGACAGGACCAAGGAATTGTATTACAACATTTTAGCCAAAACACCTTAAATCTGTCTACATCTGTTTGTTCTTTGAAAAATAAAAAATCATCATTAAAACAATTGTTCTATATATTGTATTAAAGAATGTAAGTGATTTAGTCTTAGACATTTTCTGACTCAATTTCATAAAATTCTCAACTGTAACCTATTATCTTTCAATGCTATATTCTAATTTACACATACCAAAATATTAAGGTAATCTAAAACAAATGCATTATTT